CCTAAACTCCATCATGGATAATCCGGAGTGTCGGCGACTGGGAATTGAGACACGTTCCGTCACTCGGAGTACGAAACGTACCTCGTTTCCCGTGCTCGGGCTAACTCCTATCCCAAGCACAATGCAATATGCATGAAATACATGAATGCAACTAAGATACAACCTAGCATGCACGATGCTATGAAATGGCATACATAATGCGCTAACATACAACCTAGCATACGCAATGCTATGAAATGAAATGGCTTACACAATGCATAATGGGCTTACACCAACATGAGTGGACCTCAGCCACACTCACATAGGAAGCCATGAGATGAAAATGAGACACTCGAAATGCGTGCACACGTGCACGCAAACCGAGGACCGACCCTAGGGCACCGAATGCCACTCTAACGAGACATGGCAAGGCATGGAATATGGCATACTATAATGAAAATTTCACCACTAAAATATTACCCAAAACAGTCCCGAATCATGGAAACATGGCACCCGATGCATGGAATGAGACCCGAAATGTAAAACTAGGCACACGCAATGGCCTATAGCTATGCAAAACATGCACTATTTGGTCATGAATCATGAATACAGATTCAAGGAAGTACCAAAAAAAGCATGTTTACATTTTTAGGTGAGGCCAAACAATGAACACAAATGGGGCTAAGCTAGCATGCAAAAATGGCCCCGAAAGAGAGGTAATGAAGCAAGTCACAGCTTCTGGCCCCAAATGGCCAAGATCCCTTCAACAAAGTTGAAGAGGGGCTCAAAATGAAGCACTTCACAGTTTACAACTGAGCCCAAAACAGTGCACAAGCATGCTCAAAATACTATGTAAAACAAGGCCAAAAAGAGAGCTATAACACAAAGTACAAAAAGGATGCCTCAAACAGTAAAAGACCCTTAATGAAACATGAAGAGCTGGCCCCCAGAAGCACAAGAGGCTAACAAAAAGTTGAAGAGAGGCTCAAAATGAAGCACTTCACAGTTTACAACCGAGCCCAAAACAGTGCGCATGCAAGCCTAAAATACTATGCAAAATAAGGCCAAAAAGAGAGCTATAACACAAAGTACAAAAAGGATGCCTCAAACAGTAAAAGACCCTGAATGAAACATGAAGAGGGGGTCAAAATAAGGCCATTTATAGTTCGGAACAGAGCCCAAAAACAGAAGCACAAGAAGCTAACAAATCATGCAAAAATGGAGCCAAAAGAGAGATACAAAGGCAAGTGGAAAATAGAAGCCTCAAACAGTAATGAGCCCTTCAATAATGTTGTAGAAGGGCTAGAAATAATCTACTTTACAGTTTATGACATGCCTCAAAAGAATTTATACATAGGCCAAAAATACTACACAAGAAAATGGCATACAAGAGAGGCAATGAAGCAAGTGCAACAAGGAGGCCTCAAACAGTGAGAGGCCCTTAAACAAACATAAAAAATAGCTCAAAATAATCCTAGCTCCAGTTAGGGTCGGAGCCCAAAACAGCAAGCAAGTATGGCTAATGTATTGAACAAAATAAAGCACAAAAAAGGAGAATAGGGACTCACCCTTGAAGACCAATCTTTGACAGCTCCTTGGCTTGAGTTTGGTGGCTCCTTAGCTCTGAAAATAGCTCTGAAGGTGCTGGAAATGGAGTGGTGGTGTGGTGTTAGGTGGTGGTGTAGAAATGAGTGTAGGACTTGAGAGGTTTGAGGGTTGGGATGTGGAGAGGGAGAGATACAAGGCAAGAGGCTTGGGGGAAATTTTTGTAACCCTCAGAATAGAGCTGGAGCTGCTGTTATATAGACAAAGAAGGGTGGAAAAGAGGGGGAAAAAATGAGGGGAAAACAATTCAAGTTTCCCCCCAAAATGCAGCCCCCTCGGATACAAAATCTGGGGGGAAATAGAATGTATATTTGAGATGTACTTGCAGCAAGGAGCAAGGCCGGCTGGTTATTGAGGTTGAAGGTGGCCGGCCGGCTTTCCCCATGGCCGGCCGGCCAAGGGTCAAAAGGGTCAATGAGAATTAATGGTCGGCCATACCAAAAAAGGAGCCTCTCATGTGTGCACAACACAACCATGTAGTCAAAAACTGGAGAAAGTGAACCAGGAGAGAGAACAACCCACTTTTAGGAGGGGTTCAAAAGAGTCAAAAAGAATTACTGGCCGGCCACCAAATATTGGTGGCCTCCCAGATGTGTACATCACAAATATGGGTTTTAGGGTGCAAGAAAATGGCCCAAGGGTGGTCAACATTGGCTTTGAAGTGAGAAAGAACGGGCTACGGAGGGTGATGAAGGGATAAAGTTGGCTGACAGAACAATTGTTGGCCTTCCATCCTTCTATGACCTTCCTAGCAATGAAACAGAGGTCCCTGCCAAAAATGAACCAAAATCGATGCAAAATGAAGCTTCGGGGGCCGGAACGCGCAGTTCGGGGCCCCGAAAGTGGGCTGCTAGGCACCGGAAGTGGTGTCCGACCACGAAGTTGGTCTCTCGGACCGCAGTGTCCCTCAAAAGGGAGTAAACAAGATGCATGCCAAAAACTGGAGCAAACGGAGGTGGTTAAGCGGTCCCGAACCGAGGCACACGGCCAACGGCTCCGAAAAACCAGAAACCGAACTCCAAACGGACAAAACGGCCTACGACCACGAAACGTAGCCTACGGCCACTGAGAGATGATCTACGAGACCTCTCCCTCCCTTCGGGAAGAGAAAACAGAGAAAACAGAGCCTGGTTCGCAAACCGAGGCAAGACACGAAAGAGCACAGAAGTCCGGAGGCAAGGCTCGCAGCCGAGACTCTGAAACTTCTGAACGAGTACAATATGCACCATCACCGAGCGCTCAATCGGTGACGTCTGAGTCTTAAGGTCGGTCAAAATGGGGTGTCTACAGCCATACCACCCCATTGTTTTCGTCGATCTGTTCTCCACTAATTCTCCTACGTTGTTTATGACTTGATCATAGCCTTCATGTTCTACTATCTCGCCATCAATTACATCCACCTCCTTCCTCAACCTCTCTCGTACATTGCCTGGTTGGTTTACTGGATCTGTCAATAGATTATAAATAGTCTTCAAGCAATTGATAGGTAAAGGCCAAGTCTGAGATTGCTTATTGTACTGCATATTGTGTGTTCATTCTTTTTCCACGAGTTCCTTGCTTTCGAAATTAATCGGTAAACAAACTTCTCTGACCTTTGTTTGGTCAACTAGCAGGAGACCTGACATTATTGATGGGTTGAAGAGACTTAAATGTCGAACACTCATATTTGTTGGCGAGGACTCTCCTTTCCATTCAGAGGCTGTTCACATGACATCAAAACTAGATAGAAGATATAGTGCCTTAGTTGAGGTATGTGATGCATCAAATCAGTATGTAAGAATGCTTGTATGATATGAGATGAACAAAACATATACATGGTGGTGGCCCATCTAGGTATAAGTAAAAAGATTGGTGTTCGTTTGGATGGATGTGGATTTCAAATCAAGGGATTTGAGGTTAAATTTTATAAAAATCTTAGAGAGTTAGTCACTGTAGCGAAGGTAAGTTGATATAGAAAAGATGTATCTCAGTAAGATCTTTGAGCTAGGAGGAGACCCCTTAGTATGATTTCAAATATCTACTGTAATAAAGCTTTATAATCCTCATTATAAAGCTTTTTAATCCAATTTTGAAATTCTTAGATGAATTATCTAACTTGAATTTGAGTTATTCTTCTTGAATAATTAGGGCTTGTTTGGGAATTCGATTTTTTAGTGTCTTTTTGGCTGAAATGTTTGGTTCCTAAACATAATGCCAAATCTATGAATTTCAAATGGAATTTTAGTTTTTGTTGAAGCATTTTCAGCCTATCCAACTTGTTTTACTACATATAACAAATTTTATTCCTGATATAATATATGCCATGAACAATAACCCCTTGTTCTAGGGCTTTATTTCTTGAACTTCTTTGACTATCATGCCATCTAATTGCTAAATTCTCTATCTTTTTAGTTTGGCAATAAATATATATAATGTATAATATATAATATATATAAGCTTGAAATTAATTATATTGTAAATGATTTTTTTTTTTCGATTTTTTTTTGCAGGTGCAACCCTTTTGAGTACGTGATGATATCTTCGCATATCGATATCAAAGTTTACAATCTTATTTATTTATTTATTTTTTGAAAAAAATATCAAATGTTTTACATTTTCTGTAAGCTTGAAAATAATTATGTTGTAATTTGTAAATGATGATTTTTTTTCTTTTTTGTTTCTTTTTGCAGATGCAAACCTTTTGAGTACGTGATATTTTCGCATATCGATATGGGAGCTTACTATTGATATCAAAACAAGCTACATTGTATCTGTTTTTATTTTTTTATTTCTATTGCCGATATTAAAAATTTGAGTTCTTGAATTTCAAAAATTATTAGTATTGTTAAAGGTTATTTTATATATTTTTGTAAATAATATTTGATTGACAATTTTTACAAGGTACATATATTATTCTTGGTATATGATTTTTTGAATGTGAATTTGGATGTGGATGTGGATGTGGATGTGGATGTGGATGTGGATGTATTTTTAAAAAATATTAATAATTTGTATAGGAAATATTTAATAAAATATGATTTTATAAAAAATAATTTTATTGCGACAATAATAAACCGTCGCTAATGTAATTCTCATTTCCTTATATTTTATTAACGACGAGTTAACCTGTCGCATATACATATTAGTTCCAATCTTTTGCGACGGTTTCAACTGTCCCAAATAAATATTTTGCGACGGTTTAAACTGTTGTCAATACGGTATTAACTTAATACTACTTTTTTGGCGACATTTTAGACAGTCGCTAATAATACTTTTTGCGACGGCAAATACCGTCGCTAAAAAAGGTTTTTTGCTACGGCAATCAACATTGTCACTAAAAATGCCATTTCTTTTGCGACGGTTTCAACTGTCCCAAATAAATATTTTGCGACGGTTTAAACTGTTGTCAATACGGTATTAACTTAATACTACTTTTTTGGCGACATTTTAGACAGTCGCTAATAATACTTTTTGCGACGGCAAATACCGTCGCTAAAAAAGGTTTTTTGCGACGGCAATCAACATCGTCACTAAAAATGCCATTTTTTCCCTTTTTTTGTGTCAGGCAAAACCGTCGCAAAAACTATTGATTAGCCGTCGCTACAAGAATGCGACGGTTTGTAACCGTCGCAAATACTTTTTGTCACGCCCCTTTCTGCCACCCCCCATTTTTCGTCGATGTTCTGTCGCAAAAAGTCTTTTGCGACGATATATAGACCTTTTGCAACGTTTGAGACCGTCGCAAAAAGTCCAGTTTTTAGTAGTGACAATTAAATAATAAATAAATGCAATAATAAGCTAAATAAAATGAAACAATAATGTCATACATTACATGAGTTCTTCCGGTTACATATAGTGGACAATTAACATCTAAGTGTGGTGAATGTTCTGTACGTAAAAACAAACAGTGATAGCATACATAGGCGCTGTTTAGGAAGTTTGCTTTTTGTTTTTTTTTAGTTTTTTTCACTAAAAGACAAATTAGTTATAAAATAAAATAAAAAACAAATTCAAACAACAACAATGATTGGTGGCCCAAAAAATTATGGCTCGAATGGCTCGAAACACCCAAAACGACGTTGTTTTGACACATTCGAGCCATTCGAGCCCCAAAAATTCGGGCCACCAAACATTTTCCTCACAAAACAAACCCAACTATCTTCCCAAACACAAAAAAAAAAATTCTCCAATGATATCCTACAACTAAAAAAACTAACAAAAAAACACACTTCCCAAACACCCACATAATTGAAATGCCCACTGACTTATATTATATACAAGGGTACTAGTATTGTATTCTAGCTAACAGTTAAAATCAACGAATGAGTTTTAGATTTCCTCTTTTATCAGTAATGAGGAACTGTAGAATAATGCAGAGGTTTCTAGTCTTTTATTACACATATTTTTTTTTATCTCTTCACAATGTGTCTATTTTTTGGAGCATGGAAAATTGTATGTGCACACACATACATGTACATCTCTTCTTGTAATGTCACTGATATCCACAGACAAAAAATCATTTGCAAAATGTAGTCCTAAACTCTGATGAGAATTATGAATAGTAGAGCTTAGTTGGTTGGCAATGAGGAGAATTATGAAAGAAAATTGGTATGAATTGGGAGCTTTTACCTCTTGGAAATGGCTACAAGCAAGCTCAGGTTCAAGAGAAGTTATTGAAAGTACAAGGAACCAGACAACATGCTAAACAACATTTCATATGACAAAATTGATTATAGAAATACTTTTAAGCAGCTGGATTACCCCCTAAGATAAGAGGATATATAAGCAGATTTAGTTGCAAGGCAAAAACATTATTCATGTTTTTTAGTATTTGGTATAAGGAAAAATAAGTTTATTTGGGTGAAAAATATTTTTATCTTTTAGAAAGTGAGAAATTATCTTTCCAAACTAAAAATTTACTAACGTCATCACACTTTCACCACCACCCCCACCACCACTACATTGCTGCCCCACTATTGCCTCCACTGCTGCTATTGCTACCATTATCACCATCACCATCACCATCACCGTTGCTACTGCCACTGATGTCCCATTTCACCACTGTTACTATCGCCATTGTCACCACCAACACCACCCCCACTGATTATATTTTCCACTGATTATATTATGTCCGTGTTGATTTTCTCACTTTGAGCTCAAGCTGCTTTCATAGTGGGCTGGGATATATCCAAACCCAGAAAAAATCAAATTTGGACCTCAAAGTTATGGCCCTGGGCCCTGACTAGGACCACTTGCAATTTGGGTTAGTTGTTAATTTGTTATGGGTGGAACAGAGTTATTTAAGCCCAACCCAATATGCAAAGGCTTCTCTAGAGCCTCTTGGTGGTTGTAGGATCAAATCCCGCCATCATCTGAGTTGGGAGAGGCATGAGATTCTTTATCGTTAAATTTATTTATTTTTTTCCAAAACACTTGCACAGTTGTTGGATTATATTTTTCATGTCCCAACATTCTCACATAATTCATGTTTAAGGACAAATGGACAGAAAGATTTGGAAATAAAGAATACTTGCTCTAGTAGGGTTTCAAAAAAAAAAAAACACATTTCAAGATTCTCAGATGATAATTGTGTGTGTTTTGAGACATATGACATAGTAATTTGGAAATAGATGATCCTAAACCATGATTAAATGAAATTCCTAATATTGTGCTTGGTTGTAGGATTTGATGAGAGATTTAGAAAGAGAAATAGAAAATATAAGTGAAATATGAATAAAATATACTTATATTTCACCTAGTTTCACATATTTTTTTCCTTTTCTTTTTCAAATTTCTCTCTAAATCCTCCAACCAAACACCGTGCAATTAAATTCTTTATAGGACATCAATGTATAGTTGCCCTCCGTTCAAGGCAAATGATTGTTTTTTCAAACCAATCCTAAGGCCTCAAAAAAGTTTTTAAAAAATTAACTAATGAAAATAAAAACGAGAAAAGCCCATTAAAAAAATTCAAATTTTAAATTGATCCAAACAAGAATTATTTAGCGTAACCTTTAATATTTGTTAATTTAAGGGATACTATACTAACCACCTCTTGCTACTCAATTGAAAATATTTTCCGTCATTTGGTATTCCAACATTTTAAGTCTAATTTCCACTACAATTTATAAAGCTTTTAAAAACTAAGTTTTTTTTTTTTTTTCATTTCCAAAAATGAAATTTTTGTTGCAAAAAAATAAAAATATTAAGGGACTAATATTAGTCGTCATGTGAGCCATTGCAAAAATACCATCTCAAAATGTCAAGAATAAACCTATAAAAACAAAATTTTGAAAATGTCACTAATAAATGTTCTTTTAAGTACAAAACAATTTCATGCAAAAAGGCAGTGGAGGAGCCAACTAAGGATTATGGGGGTCACGTGCCCTCCCTAAAGTTTTGATAATTACTACCCTATATATAAAGATTATATGTTATTATTCCTAATAAAATTGTAATAGTATCTCTCCTTAAATCATGTAAAATTCTTTATATTTTTATAATTTTAAAAATGTTCTATTATATTCTCTTCTTCATTTTTGTACACTCTTAGCTAACAGGTCAAAGAATTGAACCATTTGATAATTTATTTTTCATTATGAAATTTGTTTAGTTGGTTATTTCTTTTTATTAGTTAAGTTGATAGTGTTGAACTTATTAATTATAAATTTAGTTGTTTGTTTGCCGCTATTGTTGGGCTAATGGAATTTAGTTGTTAATTATGGATTTATAAGTCACGTTGATACAAATCTCATCATAATTATAATATCTTACTAATTGACAAAAAATAAATAAAAAAGTGTATAAGTTTAATAATATCTCGTTATTACTTGTTATAGGGAGAAAAAAAAAATGGGGGAGGGGGGAAAGCACCAATAAATCCCAAATTTTAATATATTGAACCATTTGATCCTACCTTTTCTTTTGTAGACTGGCAAGTCCTTTTTGAACGTTAATTGCGTATATACCCATGCAATTAAAGTGTGGCCTGTTTTTTGGTGGAGGGTAAATGTGAGTTTTTAGTGATGTTGTAGTGACCAAAATGCCCAAAAGCTTACTATAGCTTTTTTATGTTTTCCTTCCATTCCGAAAAAAATGGTCGAGATGTAATGTAAATTTCTGGGTTTCTATCCTAATGTTAATGATTGAGATCCTGATTCTTTGTGAACGATCTAACCAAAACAAACAATTCAACTGTTACAACAACCACCGTATAAAATAAATTAACGGTTAAAATTACAAGTCCACACAATGTACTGTATTTATTATGCCAATTTCATATCAATTTACAAAGAACATTGCCATTACCCGACACCACAAACCCAGTCGGAAAGTGGTCCACCACATTTCGATTGTTACAAAGCCACATAGGTCATGTTTGATTGACAAAATTAATAGTGAAGTATTAATAATCCTATTAAATTACTGTTGTATTCATTATCCAATTGAATTAATATCCATTGGATTAATAATCCCACCCAACCCCATTACTAATAATCCTACAAATTTGTTGGATTAATTATCCATTGGATTAATAATCCTAAACCAAAATGTTAAAACAAACATAGAATAATTGGACCCACGGATTAATAATCCCAATCCCATGCTCTAATCCACACAATCAAATATGCCAATAATGTATTATTTTCATTCTGCCAACATCATATGAACTAACAGGAAACATTGCAGTTACCAACCACCAAAAACAATTGTAAAATGGTCCACAACATTTGGAGTGGACATAAAACTAATGTCCTACACCACTGCCACTATAAAGACAACAACCCCAGACCAAATCGCAAACATAAGTATGAAACTGCAAAAAAAAAAAAAAAAAAAAAAAAAAAAACTAAAGGGAAAAAAAAACATTTGCAACCAAAAAAAAAAAAAAAACAACCTGTTAAAAATCGCACAGCCCCTCTCGCACTAAACCCCAGTATGAACACGACGTATACCCAGCACACCCTCTTCAGAGAATCACAAGTGATTGAACACCAACAATGACACCCCCACGTAATGAACATCAAAAATATCCCCAAATCCCTAAAAAATATAGAAATGCTATCCCACACCTTACACACAATCCAAACAAACATCAAAATCAAATCTCAACCAAAGGGCATACAAGTAAACTATAATATCACAAAATCAAAT